CTCACGGTATAGGGGAGAGGAAGGAGAAAACTCAGGACAGAGAGGGGCTGGGCAAACAGGGGCCTTGCAAGTTCAGAGCTACAGCTCCTGGGGGGCACCTGTCTTATTCAGGGCCTGGCAACTCCCCTACAGAGTGGAACACGCCATGGGGCTACAAGTCATCTCTGCCCGCCATGCAGTAGCTGCGTGACCTTGGGCAAGCCACATCTTCTGTCTCGGCTTCTGTTTGCTCATCTGTAAAATGAAGTTTTTGGTCTAGATGGGTTTTTAAGGTCCCTTTTGGCTCTAATTCTGCATCACCCCAACGCTGACCAACTCCTCCCTCCTTCTGAGGATGTGGTCCCACAGTGCCCTCTTGTGGCTGTTCAGTAGAGAACAGGGACAACACAGACCTCAGAAGCTTGCAGTTGGGGGCCAGCACCAACTGAGCCTGCCAGCTGCTCCGCTTCTGTGGGGGTCTTAGAATCCCTGGGGGTCCATGGGATCAGCACAGAGACCAAGAATCACAGAATTTTGGAAATAGAAACTTAAGGATTATTTATTGCAACTAAAGCAATATATTAGCCAACATTTGCTAAGGGTTAACCATTTACCAGGCACGGGCTAGCTGTCATGCATAAAGTCGCTGAGTATAACAGATCTTTGAGAGCAATAATGCCTCCACTGAGACCTAAAGGATGAGGATTTGCTCCTGTGAGGATAAGTTGGAAAGATTATGTGCAAAGATGATGGCGGAGAAAAGACATTGGTGTGAACAAGGAACCAAAGGAAGTGGAGTCAATAGTTACTAGATCCCGGAGGCTAAAGAATCCTGGTATTTAAAAACCATTACCCCTGAGGGAGGTGGAATTTGAAACACTGCTTAGCAGTATCTGGTAAAGGCGAATAGACACACTCCAAGAAAAATGGGTCCATATGCTCACCAAAAGGCATGTACCAGAAAGCAGCATGCTTTCTAGCAGCTGAGCACTGGAATAAACCCACATGTCCATCAGCAGTGGAGTGGATCAATAGATTAGGCCCTGTTCTTCCAGTAGAATAATGTCAGCAATTAGAATGATCAAAGTGTGATTAAACACAACAACATCGATCACATTCACAAAGATCATGTTGACCATAAGAAACTGGACTCAAAAGATGTATGGTTTCTTTTATCTAAAATTTAAAAAGAGACAAAACTACTCTATGGTACTAGAAGTCAGGATAATGATTGTGCCCGAGAGGGATAGGAACTGGAAGGGCAAGAGGGGGCTTCTGGGGAGCAGCTACTGGTCACATCTTATGAACCGGGTGCTGGTTATGTAGGAGGGTTACATCTTGTTAAAATGCATTGAGGCCGAGTGGTATGGCTCATCCCTGCAATCCTAGCCCTCTGGGAGGCTGAGATGCGTGGGTTGCTTAAGCTCAGGAGTTCAAGAACAGCCTGAGCCAAGAGTGAGATCCCAGCTTTACTAAAAATAGAAAAAAACCAGTTGGGCGTGGTGTCAGGCACCTGTATTCCCAGCTACTCAGGAGGCTGGGGCAAAAGGATCACTTGAGATCAGGAGTTTGAAGTTTCTATGAGCTATGATGTCACAGCACTGTACCCAGGGTGACAGAGTGAGACTCTGTCTCAAAATAAATGAATAAATAAATAAATAGCATGTATTGAGTTGTACATGCAAGATATATTCATGATCTGTGTATTATATAAGCCAAGAAAGTATAGTGAAAGCATCATGTGTCTCCAAAGGGACATCACCTTGTTCATCACAGTCACACTTTCTGTCACCACCAGCAGGAGCAATACAGGCACGACTGTTTTGAGAATAAAAACCCAAGTGTTCCTTTTCCACCTGAAGGGCTCCACTCGATAAGGTAAACCAGTTCCACGGAGCCCCTGCAGAGTGAAGGGCCTGAGCTGGCCATGGGGCTCTTCAGAAGGGCCCGGAAGGAATCAAGGAAAGAAGAGTTTTCTCCCAAGCCATCTCTGAGTTCTGAACCTGCTTGGCATTTCAGTACCATAGAGGCACTCTCCGAGGTTCTGAACCAACTGGAGGGTTCTGAGGCCAAGTTTACTAGTAGAGATTTGTGAAACTCACAAGTGGAATAAAAGAGGGAAGTGCAGGGTGGGGTGGGGCGAAGGTTTGACATCCACAGCCTGTCAACAGCAGAATCAGCAGTCATCAAGTACAGCAGAGGGGGTGTCATTATCTTAATTCATAGATGACCTGGGGGAAGTTAAGTGGAGTTCTTGAACTCTCACATAGGCTGGAGCCATATGAATGACTGACACCTGCTCTCTGGGTGTCAGTTTCCTAGTGGACACAAAGAGGAAGTTGGATTACATCATCTGTAAAACTCTCTCTGTCTCCTAGGTCCAGTGATTCTTCCGAGTTCCTGTGGAGGGTGAAAGAATCTTAACAGCATCTCAGGAAGAATGGTTTGACTATCATTTGGCCTTGTCAGAGTTACCTAATGCCTGCTGCCACACACATATACAAGCATGTGCATACACAGGCACACACGTGCACCCATGCACACATGCATGTACATAGATATGCACACACAAAGCTACATACACACTTATGTGGGCTCACACATGCACACATATGTACACACACACACACATCGTGCCACACTTCGGAGGTAGGTTGTTTTATTTTTGTTTGTTTGTTTCGTGACAGAGTCTCACTCAGTTGCCCAGGCTAGAGTGCCATGGCATCAGCCCAACTCATGGTAATTTCGAATTCCTGGATTCAAGCCATCCTCTTGCCTCAGCCTTCTGAGTGGCTGGGACTACAAGCCCGCACCACCAAGCCCAGCTAGTTTGTCTAATTTTATTAGAGATAGGGTCTAGTTCTTGCTCAAGCTGGTCTTGAACTCCAGAGCTCAAGAGATCCTCCCACCTGGGCCTCCCAGAGTGCTAGGATGGCATGGGCCACCACCCGTGGACAGGAGGTAGGTTTCCATTTGTCATTGCAGAGTATGAAGCGTCATGCAAAAAGGCAGTGTGGCGAAAAGAAACAGCCCTCAAAGGACATTTTAGCCAACCTTGGTTCCTGTTTTGGATTCTCTCACTTCCTAACTGGGCATCCTGGAGCAAGTTACCTAATATTCCTGAATCTTCCTTCCTCGGTCGTTAAATGTGAAATGTGAAGTGCTGACCACCTATAGGCGCTAAATAAATGACAAACATGTGATCTGTATGACACTGTGCCTCAGTTTCTTCCTCTGTAAAATGGAATGACAGTCGCTATCTCAAAGGACTATTGTGAGGAGTAAGTTAGATAAAATTGAAATATTTGGCAACTGGTTGACACATATCAAATGTCCATTAAGTGTTATCCTATATGCTAGGGGAGGTGAAGCCCCCTGCTACATGCTCCCATGAGCCCTGTTTCTGGAAAACAAAAAGACTTGTCAAAATGGTTATATCTGTGAGGTAAGAAGGCAAATAAAGAGATGTGAGAGGCAGCTTAATTCCTTAAGATAGGAATAATAGTACCAATGAGAATGACGATAATGATTCAATTATCACCTGTAGACAATGGCCCTGAGTCCTTGCTTCCTTTATTTCTCTAGCAACTCCCTGGGTAGTTAGGGCAGGGACTACTCCCATTTTACATATAAGGAGTAGGGACACTTTCGTGGGTAGTCTGGGACCAAGAGTCCTAGTGTTCTGCTCTTTAAAATTGTAGCTCTTCTCAATGAATTTGGAGCCATATTTAGGCACTGAAATAAAATATGTACATCCAGGCCCCTCCAACTCCCTGCCCACCTGGTCAACCTACAAAGTTATTCTATGAAAAAAAGCTAGTTCTGCTCTCAGACAGGCGCTCCCAGAATCCAAGTATTTTGATTGGTCTCCACAATGAATGCTTTTTCTGATGCTTGTGTGTTTGAAAATCTCTATGACTTTCTAAGATTTGATTGCCTATTGGCTGTTATGTACATTACACTCTAGACTTAGCCTCCCAAGATTTTTATTGCTTTGTCTTCCCCTACCCCTTAACTGTAATAGTAATTGTTCTTGAGCTTCACTCAACTTGGTCTCCACCAATAACCATTATGTTGGTTCCATTGAGCCTACCTCAATGAGAAAAAGAGCAACATTTAAGCTTCCAACCAATCTCCCCTGAAGCCATAGGAGATGAGAACTAGGGGAAAAGAAAATGATTCTCTGTAAGGTTGGCTGACAATGGGGTGGGAATGAATATCTGAAATAGAATCCAGAATTCCTATTTCACACTTTGATTTGTCTTTTTCACCATAATTACACAAGTAAAACTTCTCCTCTTTTTTTTTTCTTTTTTTTTGAGACAGGGTGTCACTGTGTCTCCCACGCTAGAGTTTGTGGCATCATCATAGCTCACTGTATCCTCCAACTCCTGTCCTCAAGTGATCTTCTTAGCTCAGCCTCCTGATTAGCTGGGATGACAGTTGTGCACCACCACACCTGGCTAAATCTTTTAAAAGCTTTTTTTAGAGACAGGATCATACTAAGTTGCCTAGGCTGGTCTTGAACTTCCAGCCTCAAGCCACTCTTATGCCTCATCCTCCCAAAGTGCTGGGGTTACAGGCATGAGCCACAACACCTGGCTGATAGTCTCCCTTATTTCTGCTATGAAGCTCTTTCTTTCCCTCCTGGAAGATGGCAGCATGATTGTTGAGGAGGTAAAAGGATAAAGCAGAAAGAATGCAGTCCATTTCTTCACTTATTCAGCCGATAATGTTAGAATATGACAAAGTCCCTCAAGTGACTCACAGTCTGGGGTGAAGGGGATGGGACAGAAGTAAAAACAGATTAATTTCAGATGTAGATAGCACATGTGACAAAGGTCTGTAAAGAAGTGGCCACAAAGTAGGGAATGATTAGCTTTGGGCCAGAGAGAGAGGCCAGGAAGGCTTTGTAGGAGAAATGACCTTGAAGTTGAGTCCTGAAGTTAGCATCCCAGATCGGGGAAGAGTCTTTCAGGCAGCAAGAACAGCACATACAACAGTAGGGCAGGGAGCTGGTCTTGAACCCGTGAGGTCAGGCAATCCACCTGCCTCAGCCTCCCAGAGTGCTAGGATTACAGGCATGAGCCATTGCACCCAGCCAGCTCCCTTGTTTTCTAGGTAACCTAGCCATTTTTTCACTCGGCTGATGGACTTCCTCTGGCAGTTATTTTAGAGAGGACACATGGGCAGCTGTGCTGATATTCTCCATTTGCCCCCTTCCCCCTTTTGGTCCACTTTCCACCTTTTCCCACCCTGTAGTGTGCCCTGTGTCCCAATAACCTTCGTGAATTGCACCAATCATCATTGTCCTTCCTTCCTTCCTAACAGCATCTAAACCTGAATTAGTTCCTGCTTCCCTATTCCCTTCTCAGAATCATCCAACACAAGTCCAAATCCAAGCTTCCCCTCCTAAGATGCTCCCAAGATTCCTCTGGGGTGTATTCTTTCTGCCTCAGCAAGCCAGATAAAACTAATTTTTACTAACAACAAGTGTGTGCCCAGCGGTCTTTTTGCTGATAGATTCTGACGTACTATGCAAACTCATTCTTCCTAAAGCTATGGCTGAAGAAAAGAAAAGAAAAAAAACAGTAGGGCAGGGTAAAATAGAACATCTCAGGGCTCTATGAGAAATTCTGTGATGCTGGAAGAGGGGTTATAAAGAGTGTAAGGATAAAATCTAAGGCTGGATGGCCAGGCAACGGCTCAGGGGTCAGAGGATGTGGTCCGTCCACTGAGCACGGAAGAAAGGGCTGCTGGAGGGATGTGAAGAAGCAGTGACTTTTGCTTTAACTGCTCACTAGTTGCAGAGTAGAGAATGGATTGGGAGAGGTGAACCCGGAGACAAACCACTTAAGAGGCTATGATAGTGGTCCAGGGGAGAGAGGAGAGCAGCTTGAAAAAGATCCAAGCCAATGAGGTCGAAGAAAAGTGGGTGGATTTGATAAAGCTTCAGAAGAGAAAATCGAATATGATGAGGAAGGAAAATACGAGGATAATCTCCAGCCCTTTACAGGAGAAAGAGGCTGGCGGAGAGGGCGGGAGTGAGGAGAGGTTATGAAATGGGCTATGTCGGGTAGAAGGTATCCTCTGGGGTCCCCATTCCAAATTTCCTTCAGGTGACCAGCTCCACCTTTCTCCCTGCCCCCCCACCCCCAATGCCCATCTGGTCATAACACATTTTGTAAGGGACTAAGGATGGTCCTGCCATTTCTCTTTTCTGGACTTTAGGTTCCATCTGTAAAATGAAGGGATGAACTTTCCCTCTTCTCCCAGGCTGGGCTGACGTCTCCCTTCTCTGAGGCTTGCGGCATCTGTCTCTGTCTTACATTGCAAAGCTGTTACTGCTTTCAGTCCGCATGCCCTGTTTTCCCACATAGACCTGAAGTTCCTGGAGGGCAGGGCTGCCTCACACCTCTCTCCAGCTGCTGATAGGCAGTCCCTTAGGACTGCGAGCTTCCAGTCTTCCTGGAAGTGAGTCATGTTCCTTCTAGTCTCCAGAACTTTGAGATGCTTGGTACAGGGCCCCAGGGTTGGACTTTAACTTGCTCTCCAGCTGGGCAGCACAGAGGATGCAGGGAGAAGTGAGCTGATGGGAAAGGAAACATCCAGCCTGGGCTCCTGGATCTTGGAGAGTTGCATCTAGGTCCTGTGTCTTGTAGGTATGTGTGTGTATTTCTGCACATACTTGTGTGCATGCATGTTTGCACATACACATGCCTGAGTATTGGATGTGAGCGTCTCTGTATCTAGATGTATATGAGGGTCTGTGTATGTGTTTGCACCTAAACAATCATGCATAAGTCAGTGGACACAAGTTAGCATCTGTATATCCATGAATATCAATGCCTGTGTATATGTGAGGGTGTCTGCATTGGCGAATTCATTTCTGTCTTCATATAAGCGTCAGTGAGTATGTCTGTGTTTCCACACGCCTGTGAGTGGCACATATGTTACACACATACACATGAGCATAAATACAGGTGTTGATGTGTCTCTGTGTGTTTTGTGTTGTGTATAAATGGAGAAAGAATACAGTGACTAGTTAAAAACTTAGGATCCAAATTCTGGCCACCTGGGTTCAAGCCTTACATCCAGCATTTAAAAGCTATAAGCTCTTGGGTGAGTAATTATTCTTTTTAAAGCCTTGGTTTACTCATCTCTAAATTGGGAATAACAATAATAGCTACCTTCAATGTCTAATGTAAAGATAGAAAAACAGTGCCCATCATACACTTAAAATAATACTTAATAAATAGAGCATATTTTAAAATGTTGGTTGTTAACAAAGGTCTTCATGGCAACAGATAGATCTGTACGTGGCTGGACTTGAGGGCCCAGGTGATTCTGTCCGTGTGTGCTAATGTGCCTTTGGGCACACGAGGTTGACATGTGTCTGTTAGATGGATGAACTGGTATGGACGGAAACCTCAGGGTGCACAGGGCCCGAGTCTGAGGGCCAGTGGATCCGTGTGTTTGAGTGTGGTATGCCTGTGAGTGACCCTGTGTAAGTTTATCTCCTACCAGGACAGTGAACCTTCTACCAGAAGAGATTGCGTCTCATCTGTTATTGTTCCCAGGTTCTAGAACCTGGGACACAGGGATGGACTCTGACCCAAGCAGTGAAATCAGAGCCTCCAATGCAGTTTGGATGTGGGATAGCAAGATGCTAGTCAGTCACTGGTGGCCGCGTATTAGGAAGGGATGGGATATGAAGCTGCAATGTCCAGATTTACTCAAGGTATAAAAGAATAAGACAAGCTGGCTCCAGACAAGGGGCACATGAAGGAGGCATGCACAATAAGCAGATGCAAAAGACACTTGCTTTGGGAAGAGGGACAGATGGAAAAAAAGACAAACTTCAGTGTCCTGTGGTTTGAAGTACCTCCTCCCAGTGCTTGTGCAACCAGCGTGTGTATTTGCCCCTGGACTTTGGGATTCTATATCCATTTAAATAATTCTCCTTTTGCCTGAGCTAGTTGGAGCAGATTTCTGTTTCTTGCAACCACACCATCTCTGAATAAGACAGCACTTCTTATTCAGTGCTCTTACTCAGAAAGGCTCTTCTCAGCAGACACAGGCTCAGTATCCACTGGTGCATCCCTGGTTCCTGATGTGTCCTCAAGGCCAGCTTGGGGAGCCCTGGTGTGTAGCTGTGGGAGGCGGAAGTGGTATCTTTGTGGGGGACTTTGTAAGGACTCATTAAAAGTTTCCAGCAAGAGACTTCTCCCTCCCATAGTGGGATGGGAGTGTTGCTTTCTTCTGGGACGCCCTGCTTACCCCTTCAGAGCAAGCACATCACTATAGCAAGAGGTGTTTTCTGGGGTGATGGCATCGCTGTGTCAAAACCAAGCTGTTCCTCTGGCATCCAGCATTCAAGGGTAGGACTATGTGTAGTTCTAGGCAAGTCACATCATGCCTGGGGTGTGGTGGGGGACAGGGAGTAAAGGGGACCTGTCTTCCCTGGGGAAGAATCTCCAACTGTGGCCCCTTTACATGTTCTCACGGTGATGGTTGAGACCATGATGGAAACACATCAGAGGAAGCAGAGTGAACGCAAGAGTCAGTCTGTTCAATTCATCAGCACTCAGAACAGGAGATGCTTGGGAAGGAGTCATGAGAGGGGCCCCTTTTTTGTGTTCACCCCTCCCCTGGTCACAGTATAGACACTTCTTCCCAGGAGTTACAATCATGAGCTACATTTCCAGTAAAGAAGCCACAGAGGCACCTAGCAAGTTTGCTTTGGAGGTTCCATCATCAAATGAGAAAGCCACCTCAGGGCACTGACACAGGCCCAGTTATGAGGAAAAGGGGATTACAAAGGCACTGACAGTATTAAAGAAGGTGAAAGCTCTTCCCTTCCCCTAAACCTAGCCTGGCATTAAGTCTGTTAATACCAAGACTGCATGAATTGGAGAAGATTCCAGCAGTGCTGAAGGGTGAATGGGAGCCACTGCCAGAGGGAAGGACACAAACATCTAAGCAAGATGCCCAGTTGAGCCTTCAAAGCAGCCAAGCCAGGAGGACAGTCAGGAGCAGCATGGGCCAGGCCACCAGGAACCCTGAAACACAAGAGAGGTAGTCAAGTGTTTGGCCTTGGAACTTGGCGGCAAATGCAAGGTTCTCCCTTGTATTTTGCTCCATAAGGATGAAAAAGGCAGAGCATCCTTTCTATCATGTGGTTGATATAAAGTTATCTGATCACCCTCCACCTTTTTCATTTTGCTCTGGGCACACAGGAAGGCAATTTTTCTCAGCCTCCTTCACAGGTGAGTGAGACCATGTGACTGAACCTGGCCAATGAGATGTGGGCAGAAGTCATCTATGCCGTTTCTAGGCCTGCTTCCCTAAAACTTCCTGCATGGTCCTGTGGCTCTCACATCTACCATCTAGGAACAAGATGCAGAGGATCCATGATAGGACTTTCGGGGGATAGTGCAGTTGGCAGAAATTGCCAGCAGGTATTAGGAACCTGAGTTCCTAACAACTGCATGGAGCAAGACTGTACTCCTCCAACCCCTTCCCCAGTGACTTAGTGGGGAATGATACTATTGTGCAAAATCACAGAAGATTGGGGGCTGTTTGTTACAGCAGCCAGCATTACTTACACTGACTAACACTAAAGAGGCAGAAAGACTCAGAGGTTAAAAAGCACTGCCCCGAGGCCTGACTGTTAGCTTAGAATCTCAGGTCTACAAATAGCAAGTTATTAAACCTCTCTGTGCCTGAGTTTTCCAGTATGCAAAACAAAAACATTACTAGCACCTATAACCTTGCTGAATTGGTATAAGGCTTAAATGAGTGAATACATATTGAGACTTTACAACAGCACTCAGCACAGGGTAAACACTATGTAAGTGTCGGTTTTGAAAATTAGACTCTGTGATCTTATTCAGCTGGGATCACATCTCTCTAGCTGTATAATCAAAGTTAATGGGGGGGCTGGATCCTGGATGATAGCTGCCTTGTAGCATGGGGCCTAGGAAAAGCATGTGTACCCTCCCATCATACTATCAAATTATAACACCTCTCCATCCTCCCAATTTTAAAGTAACTTGCTGATGTCCTGGAAGTGGGGAGAGGAAAATAATAATTGCCAGAACCATATAAGTGTATGACAACCAATTTATACTTACACATGCAGGTTGATGTTCAATTAATTCTAAAACATCAAAAATGATTGAGAAACAGCAAACAGTGAAAACCACAAGTGCCCTCTTGTGGTGGTCTACTACCTCAACATCAGATTGACCCCTTCCTCTTCCAGAAGGCTCCAAAATCCACTGCCCACCATTGAAATTAGTCTATTCAGCAAACTCTACTGGGACTCCACACCATTCTAGGCAATAAGCTGACCGAAAAGTCTGACAGAAATCACTGAGACTTGAGGTCTCTAACTTCAAGCTGCTTTTAGACTGAGCTTTAACTACTCTTTCCAATAAGCATTACTTTTCTTGGTGTTGTCCTAATGTTACTATGGAGCACAGAGAGGCCATCTTGGACTTATCCTGGAAGTTTTTAGAATGCTATCTAATTGGAGATTTGAGGGTTGAAAGAACTTTTTCATGTCTGGGGAGTAGTAAAATCTAAATAGCGCATGCTTTCCACTCTGTCTAAAATATATTTCTAGTACCCCAGAAATATATACAAATATTGTCTGTCTATCCGTGTATATTTCTTTCACTTGTCAGCTTGTTGAACTCCGAGTCATTCATCAAAAGCACCCATCAGACGTTACTGGTGAAATTCTTTTCAGACCTTATTCAGTACAGTCAGTTAATCTATGCACTCTTTTCAGTATCTACTTGCTTATCATTTATTTGCTTGTGGACTTGTCCCATTTGTGCAATGCACTGTTGGTCTCCTGGCCTATGAGGCTCATTCCCCTAACATTTGCATATCTGACTGTTTTTCTCCTTTGGTTCAAATATCACCTCCTCTGAAAGTTTTTCTGACACTTATCTGCTCTAATATTCACTCTTCCTTCCTACTTTAACAATAAAATCATTAGACATTGAGCATGTGGCCACCCAGAATAAAGATTAACATGTCCCAGCTTCCTTTGTAGCCAAGAATGGGCATGTGGAGGTGTAAATTACCAGCTTTGGGGAATGTTTCTCAATACTCATTGACTTCTTGTTCTCTCTATCCTTACGCCTAAGGTAATGGTTGGCTCTCTGGCTGTCATCTGGGATCATGGGTGGAGGTGTGAGCTGGAGGGAGCCTGGACCTTTAATGACTTCATGGCGTCACCTTAGTAGCCTTAGATGGCTTGCCTCTAGACTTAATTTAAGTGTGAGAGAAATAAATTTCTATCTTATCCAAGACATTGTTACCTTGCCAGTAATCTTTTATTTCTCAATTACTTTGTTAACTTTTCATTGCCTGGTCTGTCCTGCTCACTGTCACATCTTCAGTACCTAGAACACCACCTCGTACATAGTAGGTACTCAATAAATAAGTTTTGTTACAGGACTGTCTTCTTTGCTAGGCTATGAGCATTTCAAGAGCTGGTTTCGAATATGATTCATTTCAGTGTCCACCACAGTCACTAGCACAATGAAGCGGCCGAATCAATATGCACTGAATTGAAAAGAGGAAGGAGAAAGAGTTGGGAGGGTTGTGGGAAAGGCATAAGAAAATGGTGTACCTGAGGTGCTGGGGGTTCCACTCCTGATACCAGAAAACTGGGCATCTGTGAACAAGAGTAGAAGAAGGTAAGGGCTTCCCACTCTGGAGACTGGGACACTGAGGCCATAGGTGCCCCAAGTCCTCCTTGACCTGGCCCTCACCATACTGACAGTCCATACTGACTGTGGAGGCATCTATTATCTGGCAGGCATGCATTTTACACTTAATCCTCTTGACAGATTTGTGAGAAAAATATCCTCATCCCCATTTGACAGATGAGAAGACTGAGGCTTGGCAACGTTTAAAGGACTTGCCAAGTTGATTTTGCCAGTCAGTAGCAGAGCTGGGATACAAACCCCAGTACATTCGATTTGAAATTATAAGTTCCTAACTGCCCCTACCCCAGTTACCCTGTAATATCACATGAGGCCACAAGTTGAAGGCTCAGTAAAAGGGTAGGGTGGCTCAGGGCAGATTCCCTTCTCCAGACATTGCTTATCTGGAGAATGGAAGTGGTAGCAGTGCCTAACTCCTTGGACTGTTGTGAGCATTCAAAGTGACAACACAAATAAAGGTGGTACAGTGCTAGCCACGAAGAAATTATTATTATTATTAACATTACCGAATCTTAATTACTTTAAAGCAAAAAAAAGAAAAGTTTTCAGGGCACTTGGGTTGTTTCCACATCTTTGGGTTTGAGGATTGGGCTGCCACAAGCATACGAGTGCAAGTGTTCTCACAGTAAAATGACTTTTTTCTTTTGGGTAGATACCTAGTAGTTGGATTGCAGGATCAAATGGAAAGTCATGAATTTGACAAATAAACTGTGTATTTATACACCATAGAATACTATGCAGTCATCAAAAGATGGAGGTTTTGTATCTTTTTAACAACCTGGATGGTTTTGGAGAACGCTGTCCTATGTAAATTATCACAAGAATGGAAAAACAAGAATCACATGTGCTCAATACTAAATTAAAACTAGTAGATTAAGGTGGGGTGCTGTGGCTCCTGCCTATAATCCTGGCACTCTGGGAGGCCATGGTGGGTGGATGGCTTAAACTCAGAAGTTCGAGAGCAGCCTGAGAAATAGGGAGACTCCGTCTCTACAAATAGCCGGGCATTGTGGCAGGTGTCTGTAGTCCCAGCTTCTAGGGAAGCTGAGGCATAAGAATCACTTGAGCCCAAGAATATGAGGCTGCTGTGAGCTATGATTACAGCGTGGCACTCAGGGTGTCTAAAACAAAACAAAACAAAAAAAAAGGAAGAAAAAAGAAAAAGAAACTAGTAGATTAACAACTACCTGCTCACATGAGAGAAAAACTCAATTAAATACAAGGAGGGGGGAGTGGGAGGGAATTTGGCAAGTTTCCCCCTCCCCAAAGGAACAATGCCCAAGGAGGATATGGCACACTTCCTGAGTGAAGGACACAGCTACAGCTCAGACTACCTTACAAGCAATGTAACCTAATCATGTGGGTCCTCAGATTAATCTGAAATTAAAAATTTTTTTTATTCATCTAAGTTTCTCAAGTTCTCCATTGTAGTAGAAATAAAAACCAGGACGGTACTACTAATCCACGAGGAGGATGGATGGAAATCTGAGGAATAATTGGAAAACTTCCCCTCTATCACACTCCAGAACACTCTAACTGAATTTTGGAGAATTTTGGTCACTTGCTCGAAAACAAAATTACATTTAAGTGGGAGTTAGGACTTAAACTCGGTGTCAAAAGGACTGAGTTCTGGGGGACCAGGGAGCAAATGGAATAACAGAAGGCTACCTGCTTCGAAATCAGACTGTGCTGGCTAAGTTCAATCCTAACTCCAGCCACTCACAAGCAGGGTGAGCTTTGGGTGAGTCACTTCATCTCTCTGAGTCTTTATCTCTCATCTGTCAAATGGACACAGTAACTTGAGGATTAAGTGAACTGATGGATGCAAGAGCTTAGCTTGGCCTCTGGCCAATGGCAGTGTTGTTTAGGATACATGGAATAGACCCACCTGTGCAGGCCCGACTGAGGGGGTAAAATGCCCGAAGGGGTTGGGCTGGTGACCTCAGGCACTTGTGGTTAACTGTCGGCACTTGGCCCACTGGTCTTGTCACCTGGCCCTAGCCACTTACCTTTTCGAGTGATGGGTCCCAAATCCAGAACCCTGGCTAGGTCGATGCCCTGTCCTTCACTGCGGACTTGATTTCTTGAGCAAGACTGCAGGAATGGAGAACTCTCATGTGTCAACATTGAAATACATGATCTCTATCCACACTGCCCTTGCAACAGGCAGCTTTGGCACGAGAACTGGGCCCCACACACCCTGGTGCTAATTCTTATGCTGTGGTTGTCTCAATCTAGAGAATTCTCAGTGGCATGTCAAACACCTGGCTTTGAGGCTTCTCTGCTTTCTTTTAGCTGTGTAATCTGGAGCAAATGACTTCACCTCTCTGTGATGACTAAATAGTATCTACTTGATTGTGAAGATTAAAATAAGGTATGTTGGCCACATATAGACACTGGGTAAGTACTCAACAGACTCCAAATATTCACTGGCAGTGCCAAACGGCACTAAGTATGGGGGGGACACTGGAGTCATCTCTCAGCCGGTGCACATCCCAGCTCTGGTAACTTGCCAGCTGTGTGTAGGACTAGGGCAAGGCAAAGGACTTCTGTGAGCCTCAGTTTTCCTACACTGGGGCTGATAAAACAATCTGCTTAAAGGTTGTTGTGAAAGTTAAGTTAGGTAAAACACGTAAAAGTTTTAGCATGGTGCTTGACTCAGAGTAAGCACTGGAAAAGCCTACTATTATTATATGTATAATCATTTTATAACACGGCTTGTGCCCAGGGGACCTAGTAGACAGTTTTCTTCTGATCTGCTTCCTGGGGGCAAAATAGTTGCTTACAACTGGGGTTTTAGGAGGTCTAAATTCCATCTATTCATCCTTTGTTCTTCCTTCCCTCACCTTCCTTCCTTCCTTCCTCCCTCCCTCCCTCCCTCCCTTCTTCCCTCCCTCCATAATCCCAGTAAATATATATGAAAGCCTATTATCAGGTGCCAGGCTCCATGGCAGGCTCTGGATAGTGCAGTCCAAAGAGACACTCACAGGCTGGCACTGTTCGTTAAGGGAGTCACAGAGATGTATCTCACAATGCAGGAAAACTAGGTTGTGATGTCCCGCAAACATGAACATCTGAACTGAGAACCGGCTTTCCGAAGACCTCCCATTCTCCTCCATCTGGATAGTGGAATCACGCTGATTTGGGCAGCTGCAGGGGGTGGGGGTGACAGGGAAAAGGGTGTAATTTCTAAAAACAGCAGCAGAGAAAGTTAGAGAGTCCCTCCAGGTTCCCTCTATTATATTATAAGAACACAGACCTTTTCTAGTCCTCCATTTTTCCTCCAAGATGGTATCCTTATAAACACACGTGGTTTAGATTATTTGGGGCACAGTCTCCAGAGTGAAACAGATTGGTTTGAAATTTCAACCCCATCTACTTCTAGCTAAGTGACCATGGCAGGTTACTTATTCTAACCTCAAACCTCAATTTTTTGTTTTTTTTTGAGACAGAGTCTCACATTGTCACCCTTGGTAGAGTGCTGTGACATCACAGCTCACAGCAAATTCAAAATTTTTTGGGCTTAAGTGATTCTCTTGTCTCAGCCTCCCAGATAGCTGGGATCACAAGTGCCCGCCACAATGCCTGGCTTTGTTGTTGTTGTTGTTGTTGTTGTTTTTGTTGTTGTTGCAGTTGTCATTGTTGTTCAGCTGGCTTGGGCCAGGTTCGAACCCGGCTCCCTCAGTGTATGTGGCTGGTGCCATAACCACTGTGCTATGGGTGCTGAGCCTCAATTTTTTTGTCTGTAAAGTGGAAACAGTAATATCGACTTCATTAACATCTATATAATCTATCATAGTTCACCATTACTTAGTTGATCCCCTATTTTTGAACAATGTTATCAAGAATATTGAAATAGAAAATAATTGACATTTATTTTCTCTGTCCACCTATTTGGTATTCATGAATACTTTAGGCAAAAATTTCAGGAGTGCTATTTCTGGGTCCAATGGGCATGGTCTTGGTATATAATACAATTTACACAATTGTATTACATGGAGGTAAGAACATTTTTCCAAAGGATAATCCCAGAGTCACCCATTACCTGTTTTTGATGATAAAATACTTCACAGGGTCAGCCTTGTCTTTAGTGGGGGTGGCATAGCAGTTCCTCAGTAGCAGGTTGAATCGGGAGGTGTCCCCTCTCTCCAAGATGGCACCCACATAGAGCATGGTGTCCACCGACAGCAGAGCTGTGGGCCCTTCATAAGGATTCGTGTAGTTCTGGTCTTGGAAGAGGGCCATCCTGACAGTGAACTCTCCGTTCCCATCCAGACTGAGGTTCAGGGAACTGAGACAAGGAAAACCACCACAGTGGAAACATGAGGTTTTTACCAGAGAGAGTAACTTAAGTCAAGCTCTCCAGTTGTATGGGGCACTTACCAAGGCATACCTTTGCTCCCTAAATGAATTGTTCAATCCTTCATTTAAACTGAGGATTTCCTAGCTTCTAGGCACTAAACTTGACAAACAGAGTCTGTCTCCAGGATGTCCAACAATCTGTCCTGCAGGACGGCTCCCACCTGTTTTCCTCATTGGGGGAGTAACTGTGAGTGTAGTGTATGAGCCATCCTCTCGCCTGGAGAATGGGGCTTGGGACCAGGTCAGTGGGTTCACAAGTTCTAGCAGCAGATCTCTTCCCTCCACCTCACAAGATACGTGGCTTTCATTTTGATTTTTGACAAATGAAGGGCCCCAACATCTAACTGGAAAATTTTCTACTCTTTCTAATCCTACCATTCGGTGAGTCCAGGAGGTAATAAGGAAATGGGAAGGACACTCTGACATCCAGAAAGTCTCCCTGGTAAGTCAAAGAATGCTAAAGAACACTGATTCAGCAGGACCCCATTCCAGAATCAGAGACACAACAAAACAGATAAAAACCCCTGCCCAGATTGAATCCTGCCCAAATTGCTATTGTTCTATTTCTGGTGGGGATGGGGGTACTGTCTATCCAATAAAAGCTACTCTCTGCTCAAATCTCATATTGCCAGGAAGTCTTCCTGACCCCACTCCACACCAAGATTGGGTCTGGGACCCCTATTCCCTGCTCCCAAAGGACCCCATGTTTCTCCTGCAAGCATTCATCTCACTTACAAATATTTACTTAATCTGTTTTTTCTTTTTTCTTTTGCTTTCTTTCTTTATTTTTTATGGAGACAGAGTCTCATTTTGTGGCCCTCAGTAGAGTACCATGCAGTCATAGCTCATAGCAACCTCAAACTCACTTGGGCTTAAGTGATCCTCTAGCCTCAGCCTTCCAAGTAGCTGGGACTACAGGCACCTGCCAGAATGCCCAGCTATTTTTTGGCAGAGACGAGGTCTCACTCTGGCTCATGCTGGTCTCGAACCTCTGAGCTCAGGGCAATCCACCCACCTCGGTCTCCCAGGGTGCTAGGATTACAAGCGCGAGCTACCATGCCTGGCCATACTTAATCTGTTGTTTAATGAACTTGTCCTAGGTTTTTGTTCCCTAGCACATTGAACAAGCACTGTTTTGTGTTGCTGCATTGCTTCATAATAAAAATCTTTAACATCCACAAATACTCCATCTGCCTCATTCATGTGGAACATCCTTAATATGCTATCAATAAATATTTGTGGAAAAAATGATTGAATAGATGAAAGCTTCCGTAACATCCTGTGGACATCATAAGCTGTACCTGAAGTGACTGTGACCAATGTCAGGGCTATAGGGCAAAGGGAAAGGGTCAGCGCCGTACCTGACAATGGGCTGTAGGGCAGTTTGGAGGCTGAGTTTCATGTCCAGTGGGTATGCACATTGAAAGTTGACATTCAGGATGGTATCTCTGATGATGAAATCATTGACCAAGGAGACGGTGTTTTTGTAGATGGCATGGGTTTGATTTCTCTTTAGCATAAAAACAAAACCACAGGTGTGTTTGTGGGTACGTGTGTCTCGGTGTCTCTCACACTCAGACCTGTCTGATTCTAGAGTCAGTGTTCTCAGCCATGCAGTCACCTGTCTTCTGTCTCAAGGAGGTAAAGGGACCTTTTCCTCCAGTGGCACTAACATTTTACAGGAAGGAGCATGAGGGCTCCAGACCAAACATTAGAATTCTCGACCTATGGGAAGAATCAGGGACCACCATGCCTGCCTCTCTGTGCATCCACATCAGCCGTAATTAAAATAATCATATCTTACATTCATTAAACTCAAGTGTCGGATTGTTGACCGACGTGTATAATCCTACATAACCCTTGGGGTCCTGAGAGGCCAAATGACAAGCTCAAGATCACATGGCTTCTATGATGGGTCTTTGATCTGACTCTCACACTCTGACAGCAGTGGTGTGCATGCCACTTACCTCCACAATGTTCCCACAAGCACTAGCCTGGACAGGGCTGGTCACAGACACCCAGTTCCTCTCTCCTCTGTGTATGATGCTGCTGCAGTTTCGGTCTCGCAAGTAGGCAATGACTTCCTCCCCCAGACCCAGGCCTCCCAGCAAACACTTGTCCAGATTCACCTGGATCTCCCTGTCCCCACAGTCCAGCTGAGGTTTCAAACTGTGAATATCTGCAAAGCAGAGAGGGGGCAGGTGGAGTGAACAGGGGTCTGAACGTAGTGGGCAGAACCCACATTCCTCACCCTTTGGCGAGACCACAGTGCCCAATGGGAGGTTGGGTAGACTTCAGGGTGCCTGGGACCCAGATGGAATTCACACTCAGGCTGGTGGCAAGGAAGGTTGGCAGGGGGCCCTGGGTCCAAGATTGTCAAGCGTCCCATGTGCAGGCTTGGCTAAGGCTTTCTTGCCTTGTTCCTCTTGGGGATTGGTGCTTTGAGGGAAGTGAGTTGATCCTGCATTCTATACTAAAACCAAAGCTAGATATACAGTCCTTTGTAAAGCCAGCACATCTCACCAGGTTCAGAGAAATTGTATTCACTTTTCATTCATTCGGCAAATACTTCTTGAGCATCTCCTACCTGCCAAGCACTGGGGATACAAAGTCCCCATCCTTATACTATGTATACTCCAATAGGGGAGACAGAGAGTGAACTATAGAAATATAATTCCTATTGTATTCATGAATGCACTGATTCAACATACATTTACCAACTACCAGGTACCTTCAACATGGAAATAAATGAGACGTGGACTCAGCCAAGAGAATTGCTTACTGTTGTGTAGACAACAACACATTAACAGCTTATTATAATTCAATACGATAAAGGAACAGACAGAGCGTATTCCAGGTACAGGGGGAGCTCACAGGGAGGTATATCTAACTCTGTTGGCTAAGTCAGGGAAGGGTTTATAACCAGAGTTTTGCTAGTGAATAAAGCAAGTGAGGCCATCCCAGGCTGAGGGGATAGCAGAGGAGATAGTGTGGAGCTGGGAGGAAACAGTGCATTTGCAAAGGTGCAGAGTTCAAGGTACGGAAACTTAGAACAGGAGAGGGGAGAGGTGCCAGAGAGGGAGAAGGAAGTGAAGGCCACATCCTAGAATGATGTGGGGGCTCACAGTGGGGGCTCACTGGATAGCCACTGCTCTGCATGGCACTGCTGAAGACATGAGGCAGGCCAGCTGCCCCCCCCCCCTCAGCTCAGGGTGCCCACCTCGGTGCAAGGAAGACATCTTCAAATCTTGACGTCTGATACCGTGATGGGATTTGAGGCCCAGAAAACAATGCCATCCCTATGGGCTCTCATTCTCCCCCACGAGCAGAGAGAGTCTTTGAAGAGAGCAGGTTGTTTTCACCCCTCATTCCCCACACTGCTCCTTCCAGGCACATTCAAGATTCCCTCATACACACTGAAGCCCCAATTTCCAAATGTGTCATGCTCCTTCTTGTCCCTCTGCCTAGAATACTCTGTCTTTAATAGGGACCAGGAGTATGTTCAGAGGAAGATGTGGTTGTGCCAAGGGCAAGGTCAAAGGCCCTTGGTAGAATCCAATGATGGGGAGAAATAATCTCAGTGGGAGTTTCAACCCCCAACCAGGCTCATCTATGGCAATCTTACCCAGAGGCCATCTGATTCTGCTCACTCATCTCCTGTGATGAAAAACTCAAGACCTCTACAGCCAACCCATCTGAACTGCTCTGATGTAGTTCTCATAATAGCCCTTTATGGTGGGTATTTTTATTATCATCTTATCCCCATGTTACAGATGAGGACATTAAGGCTCAGAGAGTATAGATGACTTGTCCCAGGAGTCTGCCCATGTCCCTGACACAAAGACACTGCAGCTGTCTGCATGTAGCTCCCACACTTGCAGAATTCTTGTCTTCAGTGCTTTTGTCCCTCGTGGATCAAGCCTACCCATGACAGAGCTATTTTCTGAAGCCAGAAGTCAGTGGCTGTCATGGAAGTTTGCTCCAACTCTGCCCTCCCAACCTTGCAAACCCACTGGTTTTCTAGCAAGCAGACCAGAGAACTCCTGTTCCCCGATCTCTAGTCCATGCCCGCCCTCAACTCTGGTCCACACCTCATCCTGACCCTCTGGAGGTCCCTCCCTCCTGCCCTTCCCTTTCCTGTGAGCCACTCACCAGAGCTGTTAAGGTTCTGTCTGCAGAAACAGTCCCAGGTGCCGTTGGATGTGCGGAGGCACTCCTCTGTGGGGCGGCAGGCCTTGTCACACTTGTCCTCCACAGTGGAAGGGTCTGGGGTATAAGCACAGGACGCGGGAGTGGATGTGGGGCCCAGCATGGTGGGTAAGCCTCTGGAGTGCAAGTTCAAATCCTAGCTCTGTCATGCCCCAGCTGTGTGATCCTGAGAGCTAGCTCCCTAACTCTTTTGTGCCCCAGGGGGCGATTGGATAGCACCTGTCTCACAGAGTTGGGAAGAGGGTCCTTTAAAGTGCTTAGGAGAACAGCAAAGGCATTGTGACCACTACATCTCAGCTGTTATTCTTGTCATTATCCTTTGTTTTGTTTTGTTTTGTTTTGTTTTGTTTGCCAGATAAGAAAAGAGAGGCTCAAAGAGGTAAGTCAAATGGCCTAAATAGAACGGGAATCCAAATGACATTCTGCTATGCACACATTTATAAACTGGGAGATTATGCCCTCAAATCAGAATTTCTGGGTTTACTGGAGATGTCGGAAGGCCTGGCAACCTTTTGGCTATGTTTTCACTGGGCAATAGCTGGCCGGAGGCTGTTTAAGGCTGCTCTGGGTCACCTCCTCTTAACTTGCTCCTCTCCCTTTCTTAAGCCCTGGGGTGGCTTTGCTGCTCACCTGTGCAGTATCTCAGACTACACTCGGGGGTTCCCTCCAGCTGGTACACGTGGTACCCGCCCGGGCAGGCCTTCACCAGCACGTCCCTCTTCCATAAACAGCAGTTGTCACTCCAGTGGGCACAGGAGGTGCGGTTGACGATGCCATCCCCGAGCACAGGGTGCATCCCGTTCAGCCACATGGGAGCATCCGTCTGGCATCGGTACACTGGGACACAGGTCTCCGGCATCCTCACTCCTCCCTCACCCACAAAGCGGTACCAGCCGCTCAGGCCCCTGTCACACCCCCGGGAGCTTCCTGTGTTCTCTGTGCTTCGGAAGGGTTCATCCAGGAGGGTGTAATTCTGGCAGGGGTCAAAACAGCTCTCAGAATCATCACAGTACAAGTCCATTCCATAGGAACCGGCCTCGCTGGGGTTTCTGTAACCTGGGAAAGTGACAGAGTGAGCTTGCGTGTGCTGAACAAGGCCTCCAACTTCGTGGAGGGTTTCTTCCTCTCCACGTTCTACTTTCCCAAAGGACCTCCGTGAAGATAATAGGTGCACAATTCATTAATCAGACATCAAACTTCATCACTTTGCAGTGGAAATAATCAATGAAGACTTTGGTATTTCCTAGGCATTAAGGACGGTGGGGCTGCCAGCTGGCACAACACCTCTCTCCCTCTCATCAGAGTTAGGAGTCCTTCCCTGTGTGCCCGTACATGGTGGCTTTGTTTGACCAATATTTGTTCTTCTCATCATAAGTATAATACATGCTCACTGAAAAAGAACTGCAAACATTATTAAAATGAATCAAGCAGAAACGAAAGTTGTCATCAGCCCATTCCATTTCCAGGCCTAATCATAAATTTGTTATAATTCATGACACCTTCAGATCCTTCCTATGCTTATGCTTAAAACATGGATTTTTAAAAAAAAATAAAAAAATGAGTTTAATCCTGTACAGTGTTTTTTCCCCCCTCTTGCATTTTTTACTTAATATGAACATTTTTCTGTATCAGGAGATACAGTCTAACTAACACAAGATTTCTCCACCTCAGCACTACTGACATTTTGGTTGGATCATTCTTCATGGGGGTGGGGGTGGCTTCTGTCCTGTGCATTTTGAGGAGTATTTAAGAGTATTCCTGGCTTTTACCCACTAGTGGCCAGTGGCACCCACCAGAATTTGTCTCCAGGTATTGCTAAATGTTCCTGGGGGAGGCAAAATCACCCCCAATTCAGTGGGAACCACTAATGTGATCTAATGAGACTATTTCGGCTTGGTGCCTGTAGCTCAGCAGCTGGGGTGCCAGCCACATACACTGGAGCTGGTGGGTTTGAACCTGGCCTGGGCCTGCCAAACAACAATGACAACTACACCAAAAAAATAATAGCCAGGTGTTGTGTTGGGCACCTATAGTCCCAGCCGCTTGGGAGGCTGAGGCAAGAGAATCGTGTAAGCCCAAGAGTTTGAGGTTGCTGTGAGCTGTGATGCCACAGCACTCTACAGAGGGCGACATAGTGAGACTGTCTCAAAAAATAAAATAAAATAAAATCTTTAAAAAAAGAGACTATATCTGATCTACCATGTATTTGTCTGTGTGTGTGTGTACACGCTAAACAGTTTTAGGGGCAGTGACATATGATGGTGGCAGAGATGAAGGAGGAAGACCACAGGCTGGGAAGGCTGGGTTGAAATCCAGCTCCACACTTTCCAGCTAAGTACATGGCAGGTGATTTAACTTCCCTGAAACTCATCTGCAAAACCACACCTGTGAGCTGTGCCTCCCAGACATCAGCCATTCCCAGGCTTAGGGCACGTTGTTTTCCACATCATTGACTTCAAATGTTTCTTTCAATGATTCTCTTTAAAAATTAGTCTTATCTACAAAGAAGATCGTGCTGAGGCATGAGTGTGCTGAGCCCAAATGCAGATCTAAGAGAATGGGGGCTCTTATTAAGAGATGCAAGCTTTTTGAACTGGGAGGAGATAATGAAGAGAAGGGGCCAAGCAATCCCGTTGTAAATGTCTTTTATTTTATTATGAGGACAATAAAACCTTGAGGTTATGTTAAAAAAAATTAAGTTTTATCTTAAGGAATATTATCTGTGATAACATAGGTAATATGTACTAGGTATATTTCTTAAATCTGCATGAAAACAAATGGATAGCCATTAAAAATTTTTAAGAGGCTGCCATACACCCCTAGAGTCATCTTGGAATATTTATGCCCCACTTGAGGAAACATAAGCCCTTAAAGGACTGTTAGAGGATTAAATGAAATAATGTGTGTAAATGCCAGGCATTCTCCTTTAATTCTGATTTGCTAAATGCTGGGGGTGCCTGATTAAAGAGCTAGGTACACATTCGGAATCATATCCTTATCAAATACATTAGAGGGGCTTTTTGGAAAATGAGATTTTCAAGCCTGCTCATGTACTTATCTTAAGGAATCCCCAAACTTGTTATTCTTGGATTATTTTCTGCATACCCCAGATTTTCGCATCTGAGGCCATGAGCTTGGTTCCCCTATCCACCCAGGGTTGAAATTTGCACCCTTGTCTTATAGAAACCCTTCTATGAGCATCTGTTTTGTTTGATTCAAAGTTCTTGGAAAGAGCCTGGAGAGATCTCTAGCCTTTTCAGGAGAAGGAGAAGGCACTTGCTAACACAAGTGGGTGATTCGTTCCTCATCCTCTCCAATCCAGGTTCTCTGATGTCCCCCAGATATGGGCATGAGAAGTTAACTGGCACCCCATCCTCTCACAGAAATTTCCAATTTGGTTCTTTGAAAAATTGTGACTTGATTTCCATTTTTCTCATCATGTTTCCCTTGACTTCTGCCTCTAAGTCTTTGCCTCAGGCCCTGCAGCTCCTCTCACTGACCAGAACCACCTTCCCTGCCCTTCCTGCTCACTCCCCAGGTCTTGCCAGACATCTGAGAGGCCAGGTGAACAGGGCACTCACCTTGCTGCACTGCCGATGCCAGGGTCAGAACGCAGGAGGCCAAGGCCAGCCACAGGAGGTCAGAGCCCGTCATCCTTTCCACAGGTGAGGCCAGAAGGTCACTCTACAGTGTCCCCATGCAGGTATGGAAAAGGAAAGCCCCAGATAAGATCAGGGCACAGGCCCATGTCCTCAAAAACAGAACTGCTGTCTTCCTTCAGTAAGAGCTGCATTGTTTCCAAGCAAGGGTGCGTTGCAGAAAGGGGGTGAGATACTGGGAGCTTGCCAAGGGGATGAGGTTGACAGCACACAAATCAAAGGCAAGCTTAGAAACAGCTGGCACTGCAGAATGTCCTGGAAGGGTCTCAGGATGGTCCCTGCTCAGGTGGAGGTAGAGGCTGTCTGAAGATTGGGTTGAAAGAGAGGGTTTCAGGTGCCTGGGAATACCTACAGACAAAAGTAATGGCTGCCCTGTCTTAGTTTTATGCCTCAGGTACTGCTGAGACCCCTCCCCCGAAATGTACTCTAGGCATGTAGATTTCCAGAGGAGTGGGGCCATATCAGGTCAAGCCCCATGTGCCTTGCTCCCAACATGAAATCTGGTACAAAACAGGTGGCTCAATAAAGATAAGGGGTGCATGAAAGTAAGAACTGTGAAGAGCCTGCCAACCCTCCAGTGACATTTACTCTTCAGGGAAACTTCCTGAACAAGAAAATCTTTGGATGACTTCCGACAGTCTCTGGAAGATCTCAGTTGAAGATAGGGATCTGTTTCTGGCAGGGATAGTGTGAATCTAGAATGAAAGCGCAGGCACAGGAGAGCAGCAAGGACCAAGCATTCTTAGAGATGAGACTCCCAAGTAGAGACCTATCTCCCCACTAGAGGTGCCAGGGCAAGGGTGAGGGTGGCATCTGCATGCCTGGAGCAGCAGCAGGTGGGTGGAAGCATGGCTGAAAGCATGGCTGAGTTGGACACAGGGTATCTGGAGCCCCTGACAATGGCCAGGGTCGCAGGGTCTAAACCAGGGGTCCTCAAACTTTTTAAATAGGGGGCCAGTTCACTGTCCCTCAGACCGCTGGAGGGCCGGATTGCGGGCCCTGGGATGAGTCCGCTGCTAAGCAGGACAGGCAGCGGTGGCAAAAACACCCGGCCGGCCGGATAAATGTCCTAGGCGGGCTGTATGTGACCCGTGGGCCGCAGTTTGAGGACGCCTGGTCTAAACTCTTTACCAGGTTCTGAAAATTTCCAAGAACAAATAACCCTAGCCAGTCCAGTGGATTAAGAGAGGGCCCCCGCCCTAGGATTCAGAGAAAGCCTGCTGGGACTGGGAGGACTTACCTGGGGTGAGACCACACAGCGTTCCTCCTCCTCTGGCCAACCATGGGAACGCAGCCTGCTGTCTTTTTATTGCTATTTGCCACCCATGTGGCTCTTCACAATTGGTGCTAAAGTTCCAAGCACACACTGGGTATTGGTGAGATAAGCAATTTACGCAAAGGATGGTGAAAGGAAGGCCCTCCCCTGACACCATACCCTTCCAGCAGTTTCACCGTCTCGCCGATGCTTCCCTATAAACAATAGCGATGTGTGCCGGATGCTGAACAGCCTGGGCTCCGCTCAATGCTCTGCCACCATGCTTCTCACAATTAATCCTCATAATAAACCAGTGAAGCTGGTGCCATGTTTATTACCAGAAGCCAAATACTAATCAAAAGGAAGCTTAATACCCAAAGGGAAGTGGAGAGAAGTCAAACAGGTACTTGTTTGCACAATGGATTTTCTATCTACCTCCTGTTCTTAGCTAATCACCTTAGAACACTTCTGCTTCTGTCTGGAGGCAAGTTGGAGAAAGGCAATAAATAAGGAAGGGGATAGGGGTGATTTCCACTCTTGACCCGTAGAAACCACCCAACTTCAGACATTCTAACGCTAGGGAGTTTGGGAAGGTCTGATTGGGTGCTGGTCATAACATGGCAAAGGACAGACAGCTGCTGGGCAAAATAAGTATCAGAAGCCCCCTCCTCCAATACGTGGGCTACCCTGGGGACTGGAAGGCATGGACCTGAGGAGAGGTGCAGAGGATCTGAATTCAGGCCACCAGGAGGCAGGTGATTTTAATGGGTCTACCTGCTTTCATTCTTACCCTGTTTATATTTTCCCCCCTGCAGCCAGAAGCCACAGAACCATCTCTCAGCATTATCCCACATTCCCAGCACTCCACACTTCCTGGGGTCTGACCCCGCTTTACAGTTGCAACCTCACCTACAACTTCTGCGCAACACATTCTCCAATCCAGCCAATCTGTGCTCATCCCCATCTCTAAGCCTTTCTACATGCTATTCCCATGGTCTGAATCACTCTGTGCTTCTCCAACTTGTTGCCTCTTCCAGGAAGCCTTCCCTAACTCCACAGGTGGGCTGGTGTTCCTCCTCTTTGCTCCTAAGCCTCCTAGCAATGACTTGAATTACATTCACCTGGCAATTTATCTGTCTCCCTCTAAAAGTCTTTGTGGACAGGGATTCTGTCTGTGCATTTCTAATCAGCTCCTACTAAGTGATCATTGAGTAATGAAACAGAAAAACTATGAACGCTCTAGGCCCCCTCCAGTGAGTAATGCCTCAAACTGATGGCCGTCTGAGTAGCAGTTATCCCTGGTGGAAAGGCACAAGATCCTGCCCCAGGCCCTTTGCACTTGTTATTCCAACTGCCTGTAATGCTTTTCTTCAAATATTCCCCCATCACTCCTTCACTTCCCTTACCCTCTGCTCTTCAGAGAGACTTCCCCTGATCATCTTTTGTAAAATAGCAGCCCCCCTTGATCTAGCCACCTTTTCTTTTCTTTTTTTTCTACCTCCACAGAGCTTGTCACCATTTTTCACATTTCCATTAGTTATTATTTAAATGTATCCCCCTTTGAAATTTAAACTTTCTACCAGCAAGGGCTCTGTTTTGATTATTTGGTTAATTCCCATGATACTTATAAAAGTGGTTGGGATTGAATCTGTTTGTGCTCAAAATATACGTTAAATATTTTGAGCTGAATAATTGATAGAAAACAAGAAAAAGAAAAAGGGAAAGAAAAGGAACCAAGGGACAAAATTATTAATTCTGATGTGTTTCCATCTCCTCTAGCTCTTGTCTGTGGCCCTCGTTTTGATTTTTCTTCACTCAGATATTTCCTTTATGTTCTGTTGTACCCATATTGATGTACAGATAAACCAGCTCAAGGTCAGCCAGGTGCAAATGATCACAGCAGGGCCAAGATCAGCCTGTGGTCCTCTTGTTAAAGCTCTCAGGCAAGGCAAAGAGCATGTGCTTTCAGTGCCTGCCTGTGTATGATAAGAGGCCCCTTAAACAGACCATTCTAGCTGCCCCCACTTGCTGATACACACGTGTGGCTTTCCCTAGGATCAGATGGCTTGAATAGTGCAACAGGGCCTTGGACTTTCCCGGAAAGCCTCAGCTGCCATCCAGGGAAGCAGCTGGCTTCAGGTTAAAAAGTTCTCAGAGGAATCAGCTTCATTTAGTCCACTTGTCAAAGAAGTCCTGAGGCCCTCGGGATATCTGGATCTTCTGGAACCAGTGGCTCCTGGTTTCTGGTCATGCATCCTAGAGGGGTCCCTGCAAAGCATACCCTACCAGCAGGGGTTATGGGTCTGCTCCCCACTACCAGACTGGGAGGGAGAAGTCCAGATATTGCCTTGCTGATTCCATATCACCTCTCAAGACTGGGAGATGCCTGAAGGCAGGGACTGGGTCTGTATTCTTCACCTGGCACAGAGTTGGTACACATGAGGTACCCCTGTTATACTCCCAGTTTCTGAAATGCCTGCCCTACTTGGAATGACTGGTTCAAGTTCTCTGTCTCCTACCAGACTGTAAATTCCAGAGGGCCAGGGATTA